GGTGGAGTCGCCGGTCTTGGAGGCGTCGGTGCCAGTGGCAGTCGAGTCACCGGTCTTAGAAGCGTCGGTGCCAGTGGCAGTCGAGTCGCCAGTCTTAGAAGCGCCAGAGCCAGTGGTAGTAGCAGAAGAGTCGCCGGTCTTGGATGCATCAGTGCCGGTGGCAGAGGTGGAGTCACCAGTCTTGGAGGCACCACCACCGTTGGTACCAGTAGCGCTGCTGCCAGAGGAGCCGTTAGGGCAGGCAGCAAGAGCAGCAGCCACGACGGCAGCAGAATCATCGTTAGGGCAAGCCTGGGCAGTGCAGTCGCGCACACCAAAAGAGTAGTTGTCGCTCTTGCACAGGCAAGCAAGGTCACCACTAGTGCAACCCAACTCGGAAGCCTTGTTGTTCATGTTGTTGATGCACATTTGCTAGGCGGAACGTTAGTGCTGTGTCTTCGCCGGAAACTATGGACAGGAACAACATACAGCGCATTCACCAATGGAGATCTCGGCGCTCACCATGGTGGTGGCAGCCAGCAGAGCGAAAGAGAGAGCAGTGGTCTTCATGATGACGAATCTATGAGGTTGGACGTGAACCTAGTAGAAGACAGGGGAGAGGCGATCAGTGAATATGAGGCGTCAGCCAATTGATCGAGGGAGGGAGTTGGATGATGGTTGTTCGCTTGGGATGTGGCAGGGGGAAAAGAATGGCAAGAGATCGGAGGGGGAAGGAGCTGGTTTAAAAAGGCAGGAAGTGACGCGCAAATCTCAATTCTACTAGTATCTCCCCAAGCTTTTCGGGGACTCCATCAACCAGAGAAATTTTTATTTTTTATTTTTTCAGTTTTTTGTTTTTCTTTTTTTTCTTTCCCAATTTTACTTTTTTATTTCCCTTTCCTCTAATGCGATCGTCACTGGCTCCTTGGGCGGTTGGCTTTCCAAGGTCTCCAGCCAACGTGGCTAGGGCAAGTACTATCACGGACCAATTCGCATGCGATGTGAAGTCATCGACCAGCCCACCGAATTTGATTTTACTGATTTTAATCTTAGTCTGCAAGGTAAAATGTTTGGGTGGCTCGATCCATCGCGGCCTATTAACCAGCCGCCATCGATCCACTTCAGCCCACTTCTCTCCCACGCAATCTTCTCATAGGTCGCGCGGGCTTAGTACTCGATAGTTTGGGTTGGCTCCAGATTAGTTTTTTTTGTTTT